ATCACAGCAGGTAACACGAATCAATGCTTTTAACGTCATCAACCTTGTCTTACCAAACTGCGTCAATGCTAGGCGGATCACGGTGCCACTGATGCAGTATTGAGCTGTTTCTCAGCATGTAAAACACCGCTAATGCGTTTGTGATGTGGCATGCCTACGTAGCATTTGGATCTACGCTTGGCAATCTCATGTTTGACAGGAGAAGTGACAAGGAAATAGTTTCTGTATTGGGTAGGACTATGCGTAAAAGGTGAGAATTAGGAGCCTTACCGGAGTATTCTGAACCAAATGTCATGAGAGATACGTTGATTCTTTGCCAGGTTGAGTTGACTGATCCTAGGGTAGAATTACAATGTGAGTTGTTCAGAAGGATCTGCCGAATTACAGGAGTTTGTTTGGACGGGTGGAAGAATGAAAAAATAAGAATGAAAGTTGTACTAGCTAGTATTGCACTGAAAATCCCCATAAGAATTTTCCAGTGGGATGCAATTGAATAGTGACTTGGAATACGCAAGTATTTTTCGCAGAATCATGTACGGAGCGGAAAGAGCAAAATTAAGTCTGTTTAAACGAAAGTTAATGAGATCGGAGGTGTAGAAAAAGAGAGCGCTTTTATGTATCCAACGGTGTACAAAACCGAAGCCACAAAATGGCTTGAAAGTTGCCGAAAACCTCATCCCGCGCATGATTTGTATACGGAATTGATTAGTTGTCCACTTCACTTGCAAACATTAAGAAGACGATACTTATGTGGTTTACTAGGATCAATCACTAACGTTGCATACTCGGAATTACGACAACCAAACTTTACCTCCTGCGGTTCCTTCATAATCGTGTCCTAACAGTGTTCTGTGTTGGAGTTAATGCAGTCAAGTCAAGTCTATTCGCATGTACCCCTTGGCTTCAGTTGTCTTCTGTGTTCCGTTTCGTACTACCACGTCCTACGCCCTTGGAGCGCCAGTCTTATTTTGTAGGTATAACTGTGGATGGTGTTTGCACTGCGATTCAGAACATAAGGTCAGTGGAAACTCAGTAAATGCGCCTATTTTTGTGAATGCCTTGTTTGTTTATCCAATGGCTGCAGCAAAGACAGCTTTCATCGTCTCTTTTGTTCGGAATTCTCACGGAATAGTTATAAAAACGGTCTTACCCTTTTGCATGCCCTGGGGAAATTTACCATGTTCGTAGCATTTAAAAGGATGGCAGTAAAGCATGTTTCACAAAGGATTCCAAATATTTCTGTAAAATGGTTTGTTTGGAATAATTCTTCAAAATGTTTGGAACGCAGAACCATATTGCGGTAACAGTTACCACATGAAGACGGCTGTCGTTGAGTATTAGACTTGCTTTGTTTCAGTCAAATAACAGTTTGATGCGGTTACTCTTTGCCAGAAATCGAAATTCTCAATGAGCACAAAAATGGTGGAGCTAGAAGTGTGTTAGTAACTGAAGTGTTTTAAAACTGCCGAGTTCTTGGATTGGGCTTAGAAATTGGAAAAGGTAAGACCCTAGATTAACCCAGGTGTCGAATGCAACCAGTCGTCTCTTGCTTAAAAATAACCCGTCTCTTTCAATGTCTGCAGTGAAAGCTGAGCAGGTATGGTGGTCGGTGGCAAGGCCATTAAAGGTCTTGGTTTCATAATGGCTCCAACAATGGTTTCAGTGACTATTGATTGAGCAAACGAACTCACTCCGACCACGAATAACCATATCACCTAGGCTGGTGACAAAGCGTTGGTAATCCAGCCGCCAATCTCGGCGAAACGATCAAAAACCGATCGTGTAAACGATCAGATGTACCTGGAAACTGGGGTCTAAAACATTTGCATCGGTCCTTTCGGCAGTGTAATTACGGTGAATGGCCACGTGACTAGTTCTTAAGCATTTTATCCTATCACACGTGACCTGATCTTTGTACATTTGTAGTTTGGTTAGTCAACTTGAATTACCTAAGCAAAGTACACCACCTTTAGATTTGATATTACTAGGTTCCGTGATGTTTTGATATCCAAAAGCAACATGAACCTTGGGATCGCCACCACTATGAGAAGATGGTGAACCACGAGATACACCATCAACAAGATATCATTCAGATTAGTCGACCACCAGGCCTATCAGCCTTTTTGGGATACTTTTTGACCGGTGACAATTGCGAATAGAAACAAGGTCGCCTAGTTTATAGTGAATATAAAGTATAGCCAAAGATACACATAGGCTATTTGCTGACCGAAATTGTTGCATATTACTCTGGGGCTTTGAACACCTATCTGGTTGTTGATCTGGCTACTGGCGGCCTTGAAGCACATAGCAACGTCTATGATGTGTCTTGATTTGATACCGACCCACTGTGGTGTGCGATCTGTTGTCGTGTCGCCTAACTGCACCTTACCACGTAAGACCGCACTCAGATCACAAAACGATTCCGTGTTAAATAAATACAGTATCATCCACGGAAGATGTACTACCTCGTGTGTAACTTGTGTGTAACGGTTCTCACTACTATCCTAATCCGCAGAGTTTGAGTAAACTAAAAATACGTATCATAGAGACTGAGTCGATAACTACCCACGTTTCAGCGGATGGATGTCCACAAATGACAACCTGGTAGCACAATATCTTGAAAAGGCCGCGTTCAGCATGTGGACTTGATTAGTTTACTTAATCTCCACTGACTCAGTTCGACAGTGGAGGTAGCTTCATATCTGAGCTCATCTCATCTCATCGTTTGTAAGACGTGTGAAGTGATTTCCACGTTCGGCAGAAGAACAGACTAATTTTACAGCACACCAGAACTGTTGTAATCCAGCAATGTGAGCTCAAACAGGGAATTTATGCTAGGTAAAAAACGTGGCATTGTACAGTAGGCTGGTTAGAAGAGGCTAGTCGAAGCACGCGATGAACATGGCTTGACATGATTCAAGCCCTGAGATCCAAAATTACAAGTTGTCTGGTATGACACCGTCAATGGTGTGGTAAATGCAGACAAACAAAAGAATACAGTTTGAATGTGGGCCAAATATCCCTTCACCCCTCCCGAGAAGTTTGCATCCCATTTCCATGTGTCCACGCCAATCGTGAACGGACTAGGTGGATCCGATGTTTCAGCCTGTCACACCAGATTGTCTCGAGATGCGGTCAACACACAGAAAAAAAGACGCTGAATCACGGCGGAATTTTTCGTGTGGACACACCCATCGCAGACCTAAACCTAAACAAATTTGTAAGTATCGAAAAAAAAATATGTGTCGCTCTCCTAAGTCGACACTTGTTCTTCGGAGAAACAATATTCTCAAAGTGGACCACTTTAGCTGTCTCCCCCCACCAAAGCGTATATCAGTAGGGAGAGCACTTACCTCTCCAGAACTGATCATCCCAGGTTGCTTTTACGGTAATTCAAAGCAGCGTTCTTCATGAGAACATATTTTATCTGAATTTTTATAACATCTTAGTTTCAAAAATAGAAAATCACTGTTCTTTTGGAGTGAACAGAAGCGAAATACCACAAATATAGGTTAACACTTGAATGCCGGATCATATGACCTGAAAATGTGACCACGTGGGTTATCCAAATCGTATTGTCATATTTATCATTATTTCTCTCATTTATTTTTTCTATTTTCCTATTTGATACTTGTTTTATGAACGCGGTAACACTATTATGTCAAAATTCTCTGCAACAAAATGATGGGAGCAGAACTTCAGCGAAGTAAGAACAGTGGGTAGGAATTTTTGTCCCTGCGAAGAGTATACAAGAATATTACGGTTTCTGCCAATTTGCAGACCTGGAGTGCCAATTTTGAGCCAACTGTAAAGATTTGCTTGGCAAAACAGGTCCAATTATTTCGGGCCAATTGATTACATATTAATTGCACTTGTCAGCCGAAAATGTGTCACAACTGTTACAACTGTATTAACTTTGAACTGACCTTAGTAAACTTACCTTCCGACTAACAATTAAAAGTAAGGTCGCAGTACCACTCATGAGGTCACGGAAATGGATAGACTTTGCTCTGCTTTAGAATCTTCAGATAGGCCTAATAACCTACTCTCCGTCAAACTTATTTTCGACTTGAACATCACACTGTACCTTTTGAGCGATAAGCATTCACTTGAGAATTAAGTTGGTGTTGAAAGGGGACTGTGCTATGGGATGTTGTCGTAAGTTTTCACTTACAGATACTTATTGCCCGGCTTGCGAACTTTTAACGCGACTCATGGAAAAATGAGTTGAGAATCAAGAGAGTGTCGCTATTCAATGTTCTCGTGTCAAGTAGTGCCACTGAGAGACAGTTTTAAACACTCAGCATGTCCTCTGGAGTGTTTTGTGTACTCAACTAATTCCACTGTTAACGAATACACACTCATTTGCAAACTAATTTGGTTCGTTCGAGAGACTCACCTGGAACCCAGCTGAATCTCTCCTTTATGATGTTCTCAGGCAACTGAATGTGCTGCACCAGGCCGCCTCATGTTT